AGCGGCGGATGGGAGGGGGGGGCAGCTGCAGGACCCACAAGAGAGGACCAGGCTGGAAGAAAACTAAATCTGAGCAAAACGAGGGAAAAGAGCCAGACAGCCCGGCACCATAGCCATGCAGGCGTATCCAGAGAGAGATGATCCCCTTATAGGATTTATCCCTTGCAGAGCACACTCGGTCACTCCAGGAACGATCAAATGACCTATTTTCTGTTTGCTTTGAGCTCCTCCCTTTGCCACACTGAACTGAACCCGTTCCTTGCTGTCTGTCATACGCGGACGGGTGCTCCTGTGTTTCATCACCTACTCTTTTGTATCCGCGCAGACTGGATGCAACCAGCAGGCAGAGAAGGATGCTCTGGCAGTTCTCTGCACAGCCATGGGCACCAAAGCAAGGAGGAACCATATTAAATTCATTTTCACACAATTTCTAGACGCCCCTCCCTGCAATATCCAGCCTGATCACATCTTCCCAATTCATGCAAGCAGTATAACCACACTGACACCTAGAGAGGAGGCTGAGTTTCTGTTAATTACCAGCACCAGGGCTAGCTGTCTAATACACTTACTCCAAAATGTCCTTACAGATGTGAAAGCATGCAGCCTGTGGCAGAAGCATCTATGAGATTAGACACCCCTAAAATTTCAGGGAGGGGGGGAAATGAGTTTAGAAAAGTGACAGCATTCAAAGAGATAAAAATGGACACTAATTTCTGCCAAAGGGTCCCTTATACCAAAAATACAACAGTATTTTCTTGCTATGAAATACTAAAAGGCAAGGACTAAAATCCAGATGAAACACCACCTATTTAGCTGCTACACAGCTATAGAAGTGTCTGAAGAAGTTTGACACCTTATTCTGTCAATCGCTACCCCAGAAGCCTCCCCAGGTATCTGAACACCCCATTTGAAGCTGCACAGGCAGATCAGAGTCCCACCAATATCTGACAGCAGCATATCAAGCTCAGTGATATATAAACTTCAGTGAAGAGTTTCCTAAACTATTTTGCCTGGTGCCAGGATGTGTTTTGGCATCCTACCAATCCCAGTGGTGCTGGAGGGGATGAGAGAGAAGGGGGAAGTGAGCAGAGCATTGGTCTAACTCTGTGTCTGTCTGCACGGGGTGGGTGATGCCTGTGGGACAGCTAACCCACATCAGTGCACCCTCCAGACACAGCAGAGCTGCAGCTTTTACCTTAAACCCTTTTGTCCCCTCCCCACCACTGTTACACATGGAGTGAGGGAGCCAGCTTGGATAATCAACAAAGAACTAAAATAACAGACATTTGAAGACAGCATTCCAGTGTTGTTCTGACACATAAGTCAGGACAGGGATTTCCTCATGCACAGCCAGTGTTGAATCAATACTGTGCTCTTACATGTTCCTGAAGAGATCCTGCCCCATCACTGAACCAGAAGCTTTTTCCACAGAGTTAAGAGGGCATTAACTTACCCTCTTAACAAAATAAAGCAGCAGCCAGCCCCAGGGTGCTTCCAGCCAGAACTTGGCTGTAATCACTCTGCTGGCTCTTCTTGCATGAAAGAATCACTGTCCTTTTAGCTTTGGTAGCTGTAGGTCATGACAGGTGGTTGCAACAGAATGGTAGCTCAGGGGATTAATCCAGATGGGACTGATCCTTTCTGCCCATTTTGGGGCACCAGCACAGATGCATGGCCAGTAAAACTCCAATTGCCCTTGTTGTTAATCCATACAGGTAACTTCCCAGCTCATGGAAAAATAAGTTCATGACTTCTTGAAGAAGAAAGTAGAGATCTTCGAAGTTTCCACACGTCCTGCTCTACTTCCAGCAAGAAAATGTTGAAAGCTCTGAAGTGCCCACATTTGCCACATAGTAAACCAGGCAATCAGTAAAGTTCAAAATTAAATTACTTCCTTGATTAAGAGCTTTCAGGGCCTCAGGACAAAAAGGAAATACAGGCCCTTTGGCTTTTTTATTTTAGCAAAGCATTTCTCAAATTCATTTCTTGATCTATCTTCATTCTCAAGATGCTCTTCATGGAGCTGAATGCAAAAAGCCTCCTGTGCCTGCCAGTCCTTTCTCATTACTTTTGATGCACAGTCTCTGTGGAAACTAAAGCTAAAAATAATTTCCCTCATCTCCTCCACTAGCACATACTATTTTATTCTTTAACCACAATTGCTTGATCTACCTGCATTCATGATCTTCTAGGAAGATACCTTCCCAGTATCATGCCAATTTCCGTATGAGTCCTCTGCAGGGGTACTGCTGGTGTTGTACCTGGGATCATTGCTTGCACACTGTCATAAAGATGAGCACCCACAGTCACTACTGGGAACTTCTGAAAACCCCAAATTCAGCTCTGAGCTGCTGCAGCTTGAAGGGCTCTATTGCCATTTTTCTCCTTTGGACTCAATTATTAGGCAATTGTGTCTTCCTCTTCTGTTCAGGGATCTTTTGTTTGCTGGTCAGCTCACAGTGAAATGTCCAGTTGAATTGCAGTTTGCAATTGTTTGCATGGTGTAAACAGGATCTGTTCCAGGGCAGTAGAAGCACTTCATGTCCATAAAGAGCCCAAAGCCAACACCGGCTCTTATTGAAGGCAGGAAAAGCTCCCAATGCAATATCCATTAAGTCCTTGTATAAGAGCAGGTCAAATTCAGTCTCAAGGCATCACAGCCTCCTTTTGCTGCATGCAGACTGGGCTGTCACGTGGTACCAGAAAAAGATTTTTTCATTAGATAGCCAACATCTGTCCTTTACAGTCTGCCCAGTCTTTTGTTTCTTTGCAGGACAGCAATCTTTATGTCACTGCTGGCAGACACCTCGACAAGCCACTGCTGCCACCCAAATGCCAACCAAAAAATCTGAGCAATATAAGAGAATCTACAAAAAAATACCCCTGAGATCTTCCATGCTAAAGCCATCTCTCTGTGGAAGAAGAGGTGTGCCATTTCAGCTCATAGGATCAGGCACAATATAGAGTAAGTGTTCTCTAGCTATTTTAGAGTGATTATGAAATGAAACCTGAGGATACAATTCCTGTATTAATGTGGCTGTTGAGGGAACAGCTAAAACATTTTGTTCCTCTAGAGCCAGTGTAAAAGCAGAAAATAATTTCTCTGATCTGAAAGCTGTTTAAAAAAAAAACTACAAAACTTGAAAAGGAGTACAATCTGGAGGCTCATAAAGGTAATAGTGAAATATAGTATTTTCAATTCATAAGAAAGGGAAAGAAAAGCCACAGAAGCATAAGACAGGAAAATCCAGCAGAAGGACTAGCATGCACAGTGCAGCCATTCAACCCAGAGCAAAGGAGTACTCCAAGGGAACCCGATCATATTAAATGTGAAGCTAAAATTAGCTGCTTGCAAAAGCAGATCAGGATGCAAAAATTAAAAATAGCTGCTCTATCTTAGATTTGAAATCACCAGAGGAAGATGATTTAGGGGATGTTCTATATAAATGAGAAAATAAAAAGGAGCTAAGATCAGTATGTATAACAACAGATAGAATACCATCATGGGGCAGGGGGGGGGTCACAAAATGACTACTGCTTTACGTGACAAGAAATAGCCCAGGGGGTTCAGCTGCTCATCTTAGGCCACAGAAAGCAACAACTCTTGACAAGGACTTGAGTGTGGGCTACTTCCAAATTGAAACAAAACAGGTGAATTGATTAAAGCTTGTGCTAGTACCAGTTTTTACTCAGATTGTGAGTTAAGTATCACACAGCCTCTTCTATGACTGCTTTAAGTCCAATGCACAGACAGGTAAGGAGGAAACACAGCTGGCAGTGATAGCCTGAAGTCAGAAGCCAAGAAAAGACAAAGCATGTTTTATGAATAAATGAGGAGTTGCTCAATTGTTGACAGGATGTAATAGCAAGTACAAACTACCCTTTGCTGACAGGGCATAGATACCTGCAAGCAGCAGGTACAATCTCCTGGCAGCAACAGCAATCAATCAGATTCCATGGGCCTGATGGATTATGAGATCCAGCTGTCCAAATATACCCCTAATATTTGCAACAAATGCTGATGTAGCAGAATGAGAGGGAGTCTACTTAGAGAGCTAGAAGAACACTCTTACTAAATATTATGGGTTTGGTCCAGGAGGTAAGGGGGTAAAAAAAAAAGCCTGAGGGAGCATTCCAGTGTCAGCCAAGCAGAGCCTACAGTGAAACATTAACAGAAAACATGGATAGCAGAGAATAAGACCTGGCAGAGACAGATTTCCTCAAGGAAAGAATGGAAGAAAAACATGGTCAGGGTCAGCACATTTTTCCTTAGCACCTAGAGTGCTTGTCCTGAAACAAAGGGCAAAACCTTTGACTGTGTCCATGTGGTCACAAATTTTTAAGGATGGCACAACACAGCTCTATCTTGCTGCCTTCCTAACTCAGGATGAAGAACAAAATATCCAGGCAAGAGGAGTGCTACTGAGTACAGGTAAATTTTGGGAAGCTGCAACTGAAAATTAAAAGGAAAATTTGTAAAAACACACAGCTGAAATTTTACTTTCTTCTCCCTGCTCTAAATATGTGGTGTCGGTAGGAAAGCAGTGTTTATAAGGGTACACCTGGACTCACTTGACATGATAGAAGGGAATTCCACATTTGAGTCAGTCTCTCAAATGCAACTCTGGAGTTGTTAATAT